ATGAGATTTACCGTCTGAGAATGACGAGATCCTAAAAAAAAAAAAATACACAAGCGTCCTTTGAAAGTTGACGACTTAGTGTTACGAAAAATGGAGGCAACCGGTAGGGCCAATGAGCTGGGAAAGCTAACCCCAAATTGGGAAGGCCCCTACCGGATCTATGAAGAAGTAAGGGACGACACCTACCGCCTGGAAACTCCAGAAGGCAGGCGCCTACCTAGAACTTGGGATGTAGACAATCTAAAAAAGTACTACTACTGAGAATGTAACTTTTTGTAAACAGTGAGTCAATTAATGAAGATTCAGTCTCTGTTTGCAAAACTGAGTTATCGTTTGATTATCCATCCGGGTAATATCCAGGCGGATTCCCCATCTACCTAACTAAGTTCGATACTTAGTGAAGGTTACATTTGTTTATCCGCCTGGGTAATGCTCGGATCCCTTGTTTATTTAAGTTTGATACTTTGTTTATTCAACTGCTTGACTATCCGCCTGGGTAATACTCAGACGGATTCTCCCTTTATCTAACTAAGTTTGATACTTAGCATGATAAAATATTTGCCTGTCCGTCTGGGTAATACCCAGAAAGACTTGTTTGCTTAAAAAACTAAGTTCAATACTTAGTGTAAATTCAACACTGATTAAGAAACTAAGCACAAAAACGTTTAGTGGCTACACAACCAGTCTCAAACAAGACCAGAGGCTAAAATGGCCGGATGGTTGCTATTTTTATAAAATCGCCTGTCCCAACATGGACAAAGGCGTCCGGCGACACCCCTCCGGGTGCAATCGTCGCAGAGAACAGATTATCTGTCGGTTCTACGTATCCATGTAGACGGCAAAAATTGAACGACCAAATTGGTCAACTCATAGCCTTCTGACCAAAATAACCTACGAAGAACGAATAAGTTCCTAAATACCGTATGCCCATAGGCATCAGTCGGTAACCGGCTGAAGTTCTCACTTAGGTTATTTATTTTAAAATTGCACCTCACCCCAATTGGGGCAAGAGTTCAATGGCTATGAAATCTCTACCAAAACGGGCTTAAGCCGTCTGTGTAGTGACTGAAACGCCTGTTGGTGTACGGCTGTGCACTTGGTTTGGGACAATCACTACTGTGATTGATTGACTTACAAACATATCATGCTCTTTGCAGCATCAGAAGTTTTCAAGTCAATCAACCAGCTCCAATTGAAACCAATCACACAGCCGTCCAGGGGCAAGGACAGCCGGACTACTGATTAGTTGAGCAAGAAATCACCGCATGCTTTTGATAAGTTAGGCAAAAATTAAAATTTGCAAAAAAACAAAAATTCAAATGCTAAATGATCAAAACCGACTTAGTCGGTGCAATTCATAAAAGTCCATCTAACCAAACGGTTGTAATGGATCAAATGTTAACTGGACCCCGTCCGGGAGAAAGAAATTGTTAATTAAACCGGCTCCATAGCCGGTAAAAACACAAATACTCGGCACGCAGGCCGGAAAAAGCAAGTTTTGGCATACAACCGCTGAATAAAAAGGAATTAAAAAAGCAAAGACTGGCATACTGCCGATGAGGGGTCACTTCTGGCTTGCAGACGGAGCCTCCTGGTTCTCCCCCTTCTCCTCATCATCTGAGGGAATTTGGTGCGCTTCGCCGAGACCAGGAAGCTCAGGCGCAGTTGGCTCACTGTTGCTGAGCCAGGCTTCAAAGGAGGTAGGCTCTGGCTCACCTTGCTCTCTCAAGTACACCACGTACTCGGCATAGCTGTGTGCCATTGCCCAGATGCTATAATCAGCGTCTGGGTACAAGGAAGCCCAAGCAATCTTCATACGGGCGTCGTTGTCAGCATTGCTCTCAGCAACAAGGCGGTTTTGCTCCGCCTCCAGGGTTGCTGCAAAGTTTTTCTGAGCTTGAGCAGCATCCTTCTCCAGCCTCTCAACCTTGGTTTTTAGTTTGCCAAGGTCTGCCTAGGCCTTCTTGAGCGCCTCATCAGCCTGTTTGGCGCTCTCGTCTGCCTTCTTCTGGGCCTCCTCCGCCCCCTTCTGGGCCGTCTCAGCATTCGTTGCCCACTGGTCGACCGCCTTTTGATCTAGCTCCAGCTGCTGGATTTTAGACGCTTGTGTCATAATTATTGCTTTAATTTCAAGTTCATTTACGATAGTTGAGTGGAAAGCAATATTATCAGCGTCTACGACAGACTTCTTAGCCCTTTTTACCTCTTCCCGTTTGCGGGAATAAGGACGTTTGAGTCCGTCCACCCGCAGCATGGCCTGCAAAAGCAGCCGGTATAAGAATTACAGGCGGGATAATTACTTGGATATTGTCCTTATCCCTCTTCCGGACGGCATCCAGCATGGCCTTGGCGTGCTTCTGGACGTCTGGCCAGCGGGGAGATTGATCTGCACCACAATCAATATGTGATGAGTGCGAAACTAAGGCAGCACCTATCTGTTGCCGACCGTCTGAGGATGACGTCTGTTGGGAGTGGGATTTCGCTCATAATGGCCACCCCAGCTCAAGCGGGGATTCAAAAGGGTTCTTACCTTCAGAGCCGGCCAAGCGGGAAACGCTTGCAAGCGTGGTGAACCCCGCGGCTGCTGATAAGGGGTTGACAAGATCAAGGCACACGCTGCCGCTTACCTTCTCGAGTCGCCCCTCTATCCGCATCGTCTTAGCCCCGGCTGAGGCGCCAGGAGTTGACGCAGAGGCAGAATTTTTTATTTTATTGAGAACGGTTGGGTCCTCCTTTCTAGCCCGTTTGAGATTCTTCTCAAACGATTTCCCAACTTCTCCCCCCTGTGAAAATAAACAAGGTTAGTATCCGGGCAAGACAGTTTATAAAATAAACTTAAGAAAGGGTCAGGCGCTCAATACCTTGGCCCTGAGCTCGGCCGCAGCTTTCTCCGCAAGATCTTTGCGGATGGTCGCAGAAGACCGCTTGGGAGTTTTCTCCGACTGCAACATGTTTAGCGCTTCTTCTGCAAAAAAGAAAGAAATTGATCAGAATCGTAAATCAATTCCGAGAGAAAAATACTACAGACGGTGTGAACCCAGGCGCATACGTTTATTAAACATGTGCCCTAGCCCGCAGGCGGCTAGGAAACATTCATCCCTGAACCAGGCGCTCTTGGGAATCCAATTCTTAGGGACTTTTATTGTTTCCCCGGTTGACAAAGTTGCTTCTGTGAGGCCGAAAAAGTCTGCCTCGATTATTTTGTCAAAGTCTTCCTCTGGGATCCGGGGAAGAGCGCACTTCCTGCCCAACAAGTCGGGCTTCTTATTGTACAGACGAAATTCATAATTTTCCCGTCTGGTTGGGGCTGACATCAGGTAGAACCTGTGCTTCCAACCATCAAACTTGGAGACCTTGTCCAAGGTCATCATGTATTGCGACTGTGTGGTTAGAGTATACCACGCCCTCCAGCCGCCTGGGCTTCTGCTGAGATAATGCATGCTTGCAAAGGCCTCTCAGCCGGGGTTAAGCCCTTGGAACTCGCAGGCGGCAACATACCCCAGAATGTTGGTCCAGGAGTTGGGGGTAAGTTGCCAGACCCCAAGGCCGTAGCCTCTCAAAATTTCCTTCACCGCCTGGTGAAGGGGGAAGCGAAGGCCGGCTTTGAACGCCGCCTCATAACAGCCAAAATAGTTGTTGGCGTTCTCTTGATCATCCCCCAAGCGATGGTGCCCAGCTAAGGCGGCACCCGGATCTTATACCCGTCTCCAAGCGGGTGCATTCTCTTAAAGTTCTCTAAGTTCTCCCCCATCTGGATTCGGTCCTTGGAGGAGACGTGGATGCTGAAGGGATCGTCCTTCTCATTCCACTTTTTCCTTTCTTCCTCCTCGCTATCCGGAAGAGGGGGCAAGTCATCGCTGCTCTCGGAGGTAGAGGCGGAGCTGTCGCTCTCCGTCTCCCCCTCGCTTTGGTCCATGAGGGCAGAGGCGGCCTCGTCGCTGCCTTGGTCACACTCTTCCAAGAAAGAGTCAGCAAGGGTTGAAGGGGCGCGCGGAGGGGATCTCTCCATAGCCGTCTGGTCTCTCTGACCAGACGATTCTCCCTCAGGCGTTTGGCCGCCTGAGCCTTCGCTTCTATAATTCGGATCAGTGGCCGTCTGCATTGTCCGAGCCCTGGTGTCCTGCACAGACACATAACTGGTCGGAATCCATGGAAAAGGGTGGTCCCAACACCCCGAGACGGCACTCCCAGTCCTAGACTCAGCCGTCCCTGGTGACCGGCTGGACTCTAACCTAGGCTGTGCCGTGTGTGTTGGTGATGCATCCATTTATTGCAAGAAATATGTACAAACGGTGAAAAAAAAGAAAAGAGCTGAGAGAGACAGAGACGGTACCTTTGGATTTGATATCTGAAGGAAGGCGGGTCCGGCTGGGTTGCGGAAGAACAAAGTTTCTTGCTCGCGCCTGACTCAAACGGATTTTACCCTGTGAGGGGCAAATGTTTAGGGTAATTTTACCCTGCCACGTGGCCCAATCAGAAGGTGACACGTGTCAGCTCCAGATTGGTCTAAAATGGACCAATCCCTGCTCGACACGTGCCATTCCCGAAATCAAGGGAAAAGGCGGCCTTCAGGCCCAAATCCCGAGAATGCCGCCTCACGGCGCAGCCCACCAATGATTAGGGTTCAGTAACCTAATCAGGGGCACAATTCCCAAAGACCTATCAATAGGGAGATGTCCCTCATTTTGAGGACACGTTTTACCATTTATTACACATTTTACTCTTTGATAGAGACATCCTGAGCTTGGAATCCGAGCGGATCCCTACCTAAATTTCCGCACCTTTTTCTCCCTTCAAGATTCTAACTTGTGCGTCGGAGGCGGAGCACCACCCAACTGGTGTCTCCGTTTGTTTTGCAGGTACAACTCACCCCGGATCAGTCTTCGTGTTGTAACTCTCCCGAGGGACAAAAAACACCCAAAACACCAGTTGCAACAAAATAATCTTTCAAACAATTAAACTCGGTTCCATTATCACTTTGCACAATTTTAATTGTCTGATTAAATTGTCTATCGACCATAGCAATAAATGACATAAACATCTTAAAAACCTTCGTTTTATCAATCAACAAATAAATCCAAACAGCTCGGGAATAATCATCAATAATAGTCAAGAAATAACGAGCTCCACACGACGAAAAATGTCGATATGGACCCCACAAATCGCAATGTACTTTTTCAAAAATTCTAGAAACTTTATTATCACTCAAAGGAAATTTATCTCTATGATGTTGAGCACGGAAACAAACATCACATCTTTTTGCTAAACTACTTTTATTATTGCTAATGTGAGGAAGCAACTTAACTACTCTTTCCGAAGGATGCCCCATCCGTCTATGCCAAAGATCCAAATCTGATGTAGCTTCAACCACAGACACACGTTGCACCACATCCGGTTTGCTAAGATAATAGAGCTCGTCTCGCCTAAGACCCGTTCCAATCGGCTCCTTCAGTCGGTCCTGTATAGCACACATATGTGAGTTAAATTGTACAACAACATCTAACTGATCACTTAATTGAGAGACTGAAATTAAATTGCAATTAAGATTTGGAACAAAAAGAACTCCGAAAATTGTGATTTTGTCATTCAAGCAAACAGAACCGGCTAGAGTAGCAAGAACATGGTCACCATTAGGTAACCCCATGGGATAGTGAACAGTATGAGTATCGAATAGCCATGACTTGATACCGGTGACATGGTGGGTTTCTCCGGTATCGATAATCCAACTAGTGTCATCGAACTTACCATTTAGGCGGTTGTCAGAAATTTTGGTATTACCCGAAAACCCGGAAAGAGCCTTCCATTGTTCGGTGGAAAAGGCCTGACCGAACTCTGCCGTGGCTGCATTAGTACAAGCCCCCCTTGGTTGCGGGGAGTCCATCCCTCGGGATACCCTGTGATCTCAAAACATTTACTCGGGTCATGACCCTTCCTTTGACAGTGTGGACAGGGTGACCGGAACCAACAACTAGAGAGGTCGTGGCCTTGTTTCTTACAATGTGAACAAGTTTTAATGCCTCGACCTCCAGTAGGAGCAGCACGAACAGCAAAACCAACTGCCTCGGCTGGCTGCTTCTCCTCAATTTCTTGCTTCGCTCTACGCTCCCGTTCTTCCTGTGTCACGAGTTGATATGCCCTATCAAGACTAGGCAATGGGTCTTGTGACAGAATATTAGTCCTCAAGGCAGAGTAATAGCCCGCATACAAACCCATCAAAAAATCATGAAGTTTAGATTGTTCTCGCCTAACCTCATGTATACGGCCAGCCGTGCACTTTGAACAACAATCACAAGAAATCAAGGGCTCGTGATGGTCTAATTCTTGCCAAAGGGCATGTAATTTTCCATAATAAATCGACACAGACATGGTTTTAGTTTGCTCACACTTTGCGAGAGACGAACGAAGCTGCTGTACCCGTGGACCATTGGTCTGTGCAAACCTCTGTTTGAGGTGATCCCAAAAGGGCTTTACCTCCCGAAATTTAGAAAGAGATGACTTAATCTTAGCATCAATAGTGTTCGTAATCCATGAAATTAACATGGCATTAATAGCTGTCCAGTCCGATTTTGTACATGGAGGTTGCGGCTCCATGATTGTTCCATCCAAGAATTCGGATTTACGCCGTCTTTCAAGTGCGGTTTGAATATCAGATGCCCATTCTTCATAGTTGTTGCCTTTTAGACGAGTTGGTGTGATGAAATCCCCGGGTCGGTCTTGAGGACCAAGGAAATAGGGAGAATTGGATTCAATTTTAATAGGAGGAGGAGGTGGCGGCAGATCATCGTCGGTCATGGTGGTTTAATTGAAAGAAAAAAAAATCAACCTGCTCTTGATACTATGACAAATTAGAGGAATAGAAAATAATAGAGTAGAATTGCTTGATTTCTCATTAATCAATATCTTTCGGAAACTAATTATTGGTTCGTCAATCCGTTTATTCTTCAACAATATGCATTGAAATATATACTACCTCTGATTTTTTTTTTTAAGTTACAACTTTGGGTATTATTTGTAAGATATAAAATATTTCAAAGTTGCAATTAAAAAAATCCAAGTTAGTTTTTCACCAGAATAAAAAAAAAAATCAAAATGCAAGCAAATATTCGATTCGGCCAATAGCTAGTTATTAATGAGAATATACAAACAAAAAAGTGTTTGTCTAATGACATTTTGTAATAAGTTAACAACTTTTATTAAATGTGGGTCTCATAAATGTTAATTTATTTACAAAAATACCATACTAACTGAGATATTATTTTGATTTAATTACGAAAATGTTTGTAGATAACGAAATTTGTTTATCACGAAGATAGCTTGTTTTTTATTACAAATGAAAAAAATAAGCTAGTCGTGCTTCTTTAACAAATAAAGTTGACTTTCTCACAATTGCATTACCATTTCCTACTTCCACAAACGCCAACACTACAGACAAGAAATCGACTTAAAAACATGTCAATTGTATGAAAATAAATCTCTAAAACAAAAACATAATGTCTTATAAAAAATGCATAGGTCAGACACTTTGTTGCTTGATAATCTTGTTCTTCGTATTCGGCATTCCTTCAGTCATCTATGATGTAGTGGTCAAACCCAAATACCCAACCTTCACCCTTGAGCTCGCCTCCGTCACCGGCTTCAACCTAACATCGGACGACCATCTCATTGCCTTCTTTGACGTGGTAATCAAAGCAGAGAATCCGAACCATATACTCAAGCTCAAGTACAATAGTCTTAAACTTTCGATACACAAAAGCGGGCAAAAACTCGCAATTGACGCCGTGCATAAATTTAGTCAAAGAAAAAAGAATGTAACCATGTTAAGGTCCGAGGCTGTGGCGCTTAACGTCAAACTCAAGAGCGCTCCTGCCTTTGATATCCGGTTCGAGAGCGGCCTTGGATACCTTGACCACGACATTCATATGATAGGGTTGTTATTTATGCACCTTCGACGGTACAATCTAGAGGTTTATTGTACTGCCATTGTTAATATTACTACTCCTGCTTATGTTGGTGTTTCGCCTAAAGCTAGTAATTATGATCATAATAAGGATTACAAACATCATTTCTTAAGCAAAGGATGCAGTGTTCATATCTATATCGACGATTATGAATAAACAATAACTTGTGTATTATTTATTTTGTATTTTCTTAAAACAATTTGTATGATAAATCAATAAGGTGCATTTTTTTATGCTGCTGGATTATTCGATTCCATGTCTTAATCACTACCTTCTAAAATATTTAAACAACTAATCATGTTGTCTTTTAAACCATTTGCGTTTTGTATACAACTACGTTTTTTACTAGTTGCAACAAATTAAATAATTTTTTATGTCTTATAAATAAAACCCATTTATTACAACTAATAGGAACCAAAGTAGTAATTATCTTTCAAAAAAATAGTGCTGTAATTCGTTCTTACAATTATACAAAGCTATATATTTAATTAATTATTAATTTTTGCTTTAATAATCACATATACACATTGGTATACCCCAGTTTTCCGTTATTTATTTGCGTGTACTCAGAATTCGGTCATCTTTTACACAACAATCAATTCCATAATCATGATATGAAAAACTTTAATTTACAGAATATTGGTTAATTGATGTATAAAATTCCTATATATGGCAAACTTTCGTACTCCTTCCGTCCCTAAATTACATTCCTCTTTCTAGCATTTATTCCTCACATAATAGAGAGAAAAAAAAATTTAATTTAGGGACGGAGGGAGTAATTCACTGGGGCTTGTTTTTTAAGAGGGCTGCCCAGCTAATCTTTATGATTAACGAACTTTGTCAATCTTTGTAGTCACGTCAGCTTCTTGCATTTGACGGAGTCCAGTCAGCAGCCTAGTCACATGTTGAAGAATACAACTTGGATGAAAATAGTTAACGACTCCGTCACTGCTTTTTTACTTTGTCATTAGATGCATTTATTATTTTATTGTTGGTAGGTGGTACTACATTGACTATGCAAATATAAATCTTTGACTCATTATTCTTCCCAACCAAGCAACGTTTCTTAAATACAAAGATTCATTAACAAAAAACTTGAGTGAGCGATTGAGAAAGTAACAATGATGTAATCGTATAAATTCATCCTTTAAGTCATGATTTAAATTTGTATTATTAAAAAAGGTGTTTTTGTTTGCATATAACATGAATAAAAAAAACCTATACAAAATGATTATTTGAAATATTTTGTAATAAATTATAATTAAAATGGACGATATTGAGAAATTGAGATCGATAAAGTTTATAATATGTGAGAAAATGGTTATTTATTTTATTGTGGGAAAACAATTGCGACTAATATAGTATTTAGATGAGATTAAAATAATAAAAAAAATCAAGGGTATATGTAGCTAGCCCAGACAAAATAATTTGTGTGATATTATGTACCAATTAAATTAATAATTTATTGAATTTAAATGTTAATTGTTAATAATTTGTACACATATATAATTGAATTGGTGTTATTATAGCTAAAAATTGATTAATTTTTTTAATCAAAAGGAATTAAATCCTTTAAATTTATTAAATATATATAATTTTAATGAACACCAAAAAAATATATAATTTTAATAAAAAAATATATTATAATTTTCGGTGATGATAGGAAATGTACATGCAAATAAAAATTACTCGTTTATATTGTAAGTAAATGAACGACTATTAAAAATAATTAAAATTGACGAAATTGAGAAAATGTGAACGATGAAGTTTCTAATATGTGAAAATTTTTATTTTATAATTTGTTGTTTGAAAAACAATTTCCGGAGGAGAGATTATTTAGATGGTGATAATCACAAAATGAAGGATATATGTAATAGCCCAGCTATACTAAACTCCGTGCTATTATGTTCTATTGTAAATATATATATGCTGAATTTTAATATTAGTTGTAAATTGTTGTACATTTATATAATTGATTTGTTGATAGTATAGGTAACATGTGATTAATATTTTTAATCAAGGATTGAAATTCTTCTAAAAGGTTTCCCCGTATGTTCTTTCGGATAAAGTTGCTCTTAACTCTGATTAATAAAGCAGTAACTTCACTTATCTTTATAAAAAATATTGCAATGAACTAATGAATAGGGGGACGTGGGTAACGAATGGGTTTCAAGAATATTCTAACATGTTAAAATTTTAGAATGATTAATCTCTGTGAAGATGTACTTTATGCTTAGACTAAATAACACAAATTTGTTTAAAGATGGTCTAATTAAATTATTTGATACATTTCTAGCAGGTGTATGAATTGGTAGTAAGGAGTTGATTTAAAGAATGGTTGATAGTATGGATGATGGAAGTGAATATGGGGATGATCATCACACTGTTATTGATCTTGGGTCTGAAGAGGACCAGTTTGGTGATCAATATATGTCTCAGCACCCATCAACACAAACGAGACATTGGAAGATGGAAGTGAATATATGATGATGAGCACAACATTATTTAATTTTAATTACAAATATACAATTACTATCATGCCATGAACAAATAAGCAAAAATACAGTTTCTTAAATGGATTAATAATCTTGTTGTACACGTTTCCGAAATGGTTTTACATGTATCAAATATAAACTAATGATATACATTTATTTAGAACCACGTTTTATAATTATAATTATTTTCAACTTGTCATAAAAGCCAAGATCATCTATTGGTTAATTAATGGACAAAAAAAAATCAATGGGCGCATGTGTAGACACCCATTTGTGTCTCCCCAAAACCAAACCCAGTGATGAGTACCTTTCACGTTGAATGATAATCGAATGAAACGAAGTGTGGAAAGGCCTAGTGTTGCGGAAAGTTTTATTTCTTTTTCTCTTCTTCCTGTTTTTAAAAACTTTATTTTAAGAAAACAGCCAATCCAGTTTGGTTGGTCCATGATATGGTTCCAATAGTGGTGTAGTTGGATGGGTCTTGCAAAGACCTTTCCAACGATATATTATAAGCCCAATTCCGATGAATATTGAGGAATTTATGGCCAATATTGATGAATCTTGTTAGTATCATGCCTAGGATCTTGCTATGCTTTAACATGATTATGATTATGATTGATTATTATTATTAATGATATTGATTATTTATTATGTTGCTTGATTATTTTATTGTTATTGCTTGATCACCTTTTATTGCATGTTTAAAGGGAATTCTGTATTTGCAATCACGCTTAATAAGATAATTAATAATCTTGTTAGGGTTAATTGTGATTATAATTTAAGTGATCTCCAATAATAGATTTATTTGTGCATTAAATTCAACCAACATAGATTAAACAGGTTTAGGGTTAATCCTATTGATTGTATGTTAGTCAGAAAGCGCACATGAATACGAGCAGAATAAAGTAGAGGCCTATTATTAGGGCAGGTTCAATCTCTTTTAGGTTGGATTTGTACCATCATCCCCGAACCCTTATTTGGTTCATGACCTTATGGAGTTGACGATCTCTTAGATCGTTAAGGGGTGTAACCTTCACCTCGTGAACGGTTTACAAGTTCCTTAAAAACTTGTTGGCGGCTCTTTTGCTCTATCTTCTTCCCTTTTGGACGCCACCGTACTTTAGTGTATGATCACAGTGGGGTTCAAGCTAGTGGGATTTTAAAGGCTTGAAACTATTCCCGACAGTTTTTGGCGACTCCACTGGGGACGATTTCTATTTTAATTCCTGAATTTGTTTCGGCAATGATTTAGAATGAGTGGATGAGACTCGAAAAGTTCTAAGTATTTCATGTGTGTAATTTTGATTAACATTATTGTCATATGCATAAAAAGGTTCTC